TGCCTGCTCCTCGTACGGATGTGTATACGTTAATGCACGTGAATTGGCTTGTCTATGATCGATTTATCTAAATCAAGTACTTGTAATTAAAAAATACTTCATTATTATTCACTTCAACTTTCTCTGAAAATACATTTAGTTTAAGAAATATTATAGTTATAATACTTTGATAAAGTGTTAAAGTAAGTATTTATAAATAAAATATATATATAAATACAGTAATACCTCGCATAGTCAGGGTAGTCAGTTATGGACTGTTTAAAACTATAGAAACTATATAAAGATAAAAGAAATAAAAATTATGAAATAATAATAAATATCATAAATTAAAAAAAAAATAAATATTATTTAATAGTAAAACGGTTATTTCAAGATTTGAATTATACAGTCAAATACAGGGTGGCCCAATTGAACTGCAACCAACTTAAAATTGCTATAACTTTCGAACCGCTGGCGATGCTGTGTCCATATTTCGCCTAATGATAGCTGATTTTATTGTTTACAAGCCTGCAGAAGCATTTGTATCTCAGTTATTTGGAGAAAAAAATATCCGTGATGGAATTCAAACGTATTAGAGTGAAAGACCTATATTTTAGCAAAAAAAAACAAAAGTGGTTATTGTTAGAGCCCTCGACGAAGCTAGTATGACAAAATGCTATTTTGGTGGCCCGAAAAAGCTACATTTGTGGCAGAAGTGGTTCGGAAAGATAATGCTCGAAATCAATGAAATCCGTGACGCATTGGAAAACAAATAGGTACTCTGCAGAACATATCGAAAATAACCATGCAACAAATACTCAAAAACGAATTCAAAGTGAAGTCTTACAAGTTCCAAAAAATACAAGATCTCACCGATGTTCAAAAAATAACTAGGAGTTGTTGCGCTTGCACGAACGCGGCCAACTGCCAAATATCGCCAGAAATTCGTATACAAAGAAAATGATCAAATTTACGTAGAAGAGAGGCAAAACGAAAATTTAGACATTCGAATGGCAACAAGAAGTCAAGCACCTCCGTTTGTGGTAGTTTGGGAGGCTGATCGCTCTCCGTTGGTGTTTTTGGACCGTGGCGTTAAGGCTAATGCGAATGTCTACCAAGAACAAGTGTATGAAGTTGCTCTGAAGCCGTGGGCAACCACACATTTTACAAGCCAATGTCAGCACTAAAAGATACCAAAGTGTTCAAGAAAGCCCTTCTTTGTGCATGGATGAAAATTCCGCACATTCGTGCAGCGTGGGACTTCCTTGTCGGCCAACTTAATTTGAAAAATTTAAATGTTTTCCAATATTTTTGCTTTTGGTTTATTAAAATCCGATTTCAATTAAAAAAATAAAGCCTTCTGAAAAGTTGCAGTTTTGGGCCACCTGTATTTATAAATTGATGGCAATCTTATCTCATTAAAGTTCTCTACTCATCGTCAACCAAAATGTATGCTTTCTAACTTTTTAGTTATATCGTTTCACTCTAGTTAAAATCAATTAATAGGAAATATATTTAAGAATGTTATATTTCAAAATTAACTCTTTCCAAACACATATTTCGGTTGGTCAATTTGTACTATTTTTCAATTATATATCCTATTTAATAATTGATATTAATTGAAACTGAAGTTATTTTGAAATTTGTCTTTAAAATTAGTACTATTAACAAATTTTTTGGTACTATGTAAATTATTGTGAAATGTATGCTTACTTTCAAAATTTCTAAAACGTGTTTTTTTTTGTTCCAGAATGGCTGGTCGCAATGTTTTCATCATCAAAATGTTTACGATTTTCTTCTTCTCGCTGATCATGTTGGTGAGTTGCAGCCACAGCAGGACGGGTCCTCAGATCCGTTCTGTCGGCACTAGTGATGGTTTTGCCATCTTGAACCTAGGCACTGCGAGAAACTTTGGAAAACGAGCTGTCTATCCGTCTGTGAGGTGAGAGAATAAAAAACAACCAAAATCATATATAAAATATATCATTTCCCAACTTGCAAATTATACCCTATTATTAAGTCTATACATTTCCAAAACAATGTTCAATGTGCTTCAATACTTTTAGTGACAAAATATTATTTAACCAATGTTATTATGATGATTCTTATTTTGATACAACGTTATTTCATCCATATGCATTAAAATGTAAAGGACATTTGATATTGTAAGAAATTATTCTATCTTACAGAAATTAATCATTTTAGAAAATAGGAATGTATATGTACTGCTGCTCCGAGCGATTTATTCAATCAAGTTTAAAAAAAATGTAATCGCTTTAATATCTTTTCAGATCTAATACAAATGATTTAACACAATTAAAAATCACAAGATTAAATATCATTATGTCGCTGTAATTTTAAGTCAAAATTAATTTATTGTTAATTTGAATTTGTAACATCTCAAGTGTGTCATTCCGTGAAATATATATGTCTTGAAGAAAAGAAAATGAATTGTTTTTAACTAAATAATTTATAAGTCAAACTTTTGTGATAATTCTTTCCGTAATATTTTATATTTTTATTATCAAGAATTATGTTTTTCCTAATTTTTAGATTGACAAATATGAGATATTGCCTTAGGAATTAAAAGTCATCTATTCATTTTTATATTATTGATAATTAAAAATGTAATATTTTGTGTTATTATAACAAAATTTCCAATTTTTTTTTTTCTATAATATACATTTGTATTTCTTTACACCTAATAAATGTACATTATATTTTATTAATATTCTGATACCAATATTGCAACGGAATATTTATTTCTAACTATTTATTCTACTTGGAATACATTTTTATTTCTTTACGGTGAGCAGTGTATAATATAAAGTATGTTTTTATAATTCAGGAAAAATGTGCGTGCTGCTTTGTTTTTATTACTTTCAAACGCTTTATAGCAGATAAAGTTATTCATATCAACGGCATCTTTCATAATAAACTTCTACAAAACTACAAACAGAGTGTTAATTTGTTTAAACAATTCATAAAGTAATGTAATGTATTGCTTAACGGAAAATTGCACTTCAGCGCGATGTTCACCATAAATAACAAATAAACTAAAGATTTATCAAAGTTTCTGTCAAATAACCGTTGTACTATTTGCTTTGCAATATTAATTTAATTACTTAATAACTATTTTTCTTTGAGAACCAAAAATAAAATAAACATTATTGGCAAACTATAAACGAATAATACATATCTGAGTATTTACAATATTCACAAAATATTGCAGTATATTTAGGGATATATTGCACGAAGATTCACATATTGCACAATATTTGTTGTTGTTACATACTTTGTGACGGAATAGTTAATTGTTTTAATGTTTACTACATTTCCTATGCCTCGCAATTAAGTTTTAATAGGTTTTAATGTAAATTTATATATAAGTAACTTGTTTTATCTCGTTAATTATGAGCTTTTATTTGTAGTTCTCGTTTCACCTGATGATTTAAAATAGTGGCGGAACTACAATGCCAAATTGATAAGGGCCCTGAAATACTAAAATACTCGCTACTTAAAATCCCGAGCGATTTAGGGATTTGAATAATATTTTGCATAGGAGACAAATATTTCAAGTTCCGCCACTCAAAATTAATGATTTGTCAAAGTGCAGAAATTAAATATAATAGTTGTTTCCGTAACAATAATCTTAGTTACAAATTGTATTTCAATTATGAAAAAAATGTGTTGCTACTTTAGGAATTCGGTTTTTCCTGTAAATACTAAATTAATTGGACATAACTTAGTTAATACTTTTTATTAAATATTTTTTCATATTTCTCACAATTTTAGAAGTAATATAAAATATCTTCAATATATTATAATAAGTAAGTATTCTTTTTAGAATATTTATGTCAATAAATTAAAATAATATACGAAATTTAATTTATGTTCGAATTTAGTTATTTTATCCGCAAATATCCACACTGAGAAATATTTGATAGGAGTTTCAAAAAATGTTTATTGCTTTTAAATTCCAGTTAATAATTAATGTATTTTTCAAATTTTCATTAAAATATTCAATTACCTAACAATTTTTATTTTGTTTAATTGAAACACTCCGCCTGATGTAGAAGAGCTGATGGAATTTGTTTTTATTTTATTGTTAAATAAAATCTGTTTAAATATTAATATATGATAATTTGGCGGTTTGTGCGAAATATTTTCATTTAGAATGTAAAATAAAATATACCTCAATTTACCTAGTAGGAAACTCTCCGAAAACACAACAAGCCATTGCATGTATGCTTGGTGCTCGCAAAATTATGCTAATTACCAATAAACGATGTTAATTAACCTTCGTAAAATTTGCATTGCAACCGCCGAAGTACCACTAAACTTGCTATGAACCTTCAAAATCAAATTCCTACGGGCAAAATTTGTTCACAGGAGCATAAATCGAAAAGAAATATACATACGAAAGTATCGTATCAAATAGATGTGTAATGATATTATATTTTTTATCTGTTTCAGCGTTTTGAAAGAATGGATCGAACTGGTCGATAAAATGAAGCAGTTGAGGCTCCCCAAACAGTCCCCACTTGGAATGCCCGAAGATGAAAACGTTTTGATGGAACGGAACAATTATTACGTGTAAAACACTAATATGCATGTACACACAACCCACACAATATATTTATTTATTTATTTACGATACATAATATAAATGTTGTACTCAAATGCTGGACTACTTCGTATATATATATATAATTAAATAGTTATTATCGATCAGCAGCGGCTAACGCAATTTTGGTTTTAATTGTCGAAACGATTCAATCCCATTAAAACAAGTATATCTCTCGTGTCACGTCCTACAGTTTCTGTAGTTAGTAACAAATGTTGTATTTCGCTTAATATAATTGCAGATGTAATGGAAATAGTCAAAATAATTAATGAAAGAAACAAATAAATTTCATGCAAAACTATTTTAGAATTTTAAATGATTAACATAATCCCGCCCATTTTATAACCTTTCGAACTACTCCATAAGCGCTACTGTCAAATTTGACGTGTAGCGTTTGACCTAATTGTGTTTGTAAAAAATTGAGGGATATATTTTAAATGACTGTGATTCAATAATTTTCTGTTTATCAAATTCGAAGAGATGACCGGCAAAGTGGAAGTGACCTTAAATAACTTTTTTATCTTTAACTCCACTTACGGAAATAATGAAGGAGAAGTAAGTACATTACAATTAAACATAACCTTGAATTTAATTAATTGTTATTTTTTAATTTAAGGAGAAGAACAAAATATTATTTTACCATCCTAACACAGATCATCTGGATACACAGATTAAGAATGTCGGATTGGCAGAAGCTATCATACAATTCACAGCGTATGGACTCTGAAAAATTATTGGATAACATTCATAACTAAATGTTTAAAGTGCTTTTTCAGGTCTTTTAAACCAGATGGACCAATCAAATCTGTTCATACACTTAAAAGACGTCAGATGTACTTTCAACCTGAACCCAACTTCTGGGTAGTCATGGTAATTATAATATACATGAAATAAGCTATTTCTAATAAGTAATTATTTAAGACACTGAATCTGCCATTCATTAGAAAGATTAAGGAGGGCTCAGAGATAATTGAATATACAGAAGAGGATGTTCAGGATAATGTCTATGAAAGTGTACTTAAGCAGGCTTATCACATGTACAGATTATTCTCAGGCACCTTTGTGCAAGCAATTGAGAAGACCAGTCTTGATATTTTGAAAACTAAGCTTGAACAATTCTTCACCAGTGTAAGTGATTGACTTATCCTTATTATTTCAATAATACAATGCAGTATTTCAGTACTTTACTACACTCAAATTGCACCACTGTGATATAGTGAATATATTCAATGGTATACAATGTCTACCATTGGATAAACAGACGTTTTTGAATGTCCAATGCTTCATCAATGCCATGGAATGCAATTTTCCGATTATTAAACACACCGCCTTCCTTTATAATGACCACATGATCTGGTAGTGTGATATTAGATTATGAAATTCATTAAACCATCTGTAACATATTTTAGGAGCGGGATAGAACCGTCCAATATGCAAATTGTTTATCAATACTTGATTAAAACGTTACTGCCAGCTCATCTGGGATCTGAGCTGCTGTGCGGTTCCATGCCGAGAAATCAACCCTCGCCGTTCGCAGCTCTTCATCACGGCAGATTCATCACGGGGCCCGAAAATCTAAAGGCCTCAACATCTATTGGTAAAATTCCCAGAGTCCATCTGTACTCAGACACGGACTGTACAATCTACCACTTAGTTGTCTATAGAGCTTTAAGTGCTTCAGTTTGCTTATTTATCGAAGGTAGTATATAATTTAACGATATTCAATTAATTACTCGTGTAAATAATCATAGAAAAGGAAGAACTGGATATGAAAATATTCAAGGAACTCGATGATTTCATTGGGCCAGCACTCACGGTTATAGTATCTGACATCGCAGAGTATTGTACTAAGCAAGTGGTCACACCTTCCAGTCAGTCTGAAACGAATCCAAAGTTTATCTACTTTAACAAAATGAATTTGGCTTACAAGAGTTCCGTGCATCTAGACAATAAACAGACAGGAAATATAGCCGTTACAAAAGAGTGTCTTAAACTGATCAGCGATATTAATGCTAACAAAGATTTGCTCGAGTACGCAGGCGAAGTTATTGTTAAGACTATGAACGATTATTGGGTTGTAGGTAAAATGAGCAACTTGCGAGAGTTCTACGTAGCACTGCAGCAGAAGAATGCCAGTCTTATTGAAATTAGCGGTAATTATTTATATTACTTAAATAATTTCATTATTTATCTACTTACATTTTTTCAGATGAAGTTAAGAAGCTGTGCGACACTGAACTAAAGGGTATTTTCTTCCATTCCTTGTAAATTTTGCTATAATATATTTTAGTTCGTTAAAAGAACGTATCCGAATACATTCTTTTATTAATTTATATAATCAAGCGTTTTCAAAATTCTTTTAAATAAATAAATAAAATTGTTAAACAGCCTCCTAGAAAGAGATATAATATGCATCGCTTAAACAATAATTTATAATGTAAAAATAAACAAATTTTTATTAACTATTTATGTAAAACTGATATCTTATTCTATATTTTTATATATTAATGCGCGATTATTTTTATACTTAAAATTGGTTACTACAATTTTTCATTTGTGAAAAAAATACAAAAGTTGGATTTAAGAACATGACATAACATGTTTTCGCTAAAGTGACTATATTGTACGATACGCCAAAAAATTCGTAAGTGATTTTGTTTATGTTCTCCTTTTACCACATTTGACATTTGAAAAGGTGAACTTACTTTCGAAATAGATGAAAAGGGATTCTATACATATAGATGAAAGTTTAATGAGTCAAGAGAAGTTTTATAATTATGCAATATTATATGATTAATTAATGTATTTATTGTCAGGTTCAGCAAGTAACTGCAGTGTTGAAGTAATTTGAAAAAAAAACCTGTTATAATTATGAGCACTGGTATTTATTATTTTATGCTCTGATTACTCCAATTCTATCAATTTGTAATTTAATAATTAAAGGAAATGAAATTTTACTGCAAAGTAAATTATAGGATGGAAATGAGGTATAATTATATAAACTGAATATTATCAAAATAAATTCATTTGTATTATAAAATATAAAATCACAAACTTATATCCATACAGAACAGCGAATTTACTAAATACCTAAAACGCTAAAACATGTATAAATTATAGATAAAATTATAAAACTAAAAAGGAAAACATAATATTAATGAGAATAAAAGTACAACAGTATAGGCAGCGGTAGAAATTAGTGCTTCACGGTTTCGGTATGAAAGTAACTTCGCTGTGATTACGTGCAAATATTAGATTCAGGTGCGAATCTAAGCCGACGTTCTCTACTCTTACCACATAACTGTCATTGATTTTGGGATCTTTCCGCACGACCGCCAGACCGTAAACTTGCACCAGATGTTCTTCCTTGTCTATGGACCCGCTCCTCGCGAGCTTTATGTGGCACATGACATCTACGTGTATGTACTTCTCTACTGCAATCCCTTTGGCAGTTTCCAGTCTTTCCATTCTCTCCTCGCGCTGCGGTAAATCCGCCCTGAAGACGGATGCCTCACCTAAAATGTTTGTGTCAGCATGGATTTCGAATTTCATGCCAATGTGCACTGCTCTGGGCTCCAATCCCAGACCGTCTCGATGGTTGTCAGACCACAGGTAATTATTTGGATTCAATAGGGAATCTGGTTGGAAGCTGAGCTTCTTCGCGTAACCCATACCGATGCTGTTCAGTTTCAGGGCGCGCCCGCCGAACAGCAGATCTTTTTGGTCGTTCGGACGTACTTTGTAATGGAAGCCAGGGATTATTCTAGGATCCACATATGTACCTTAAACACAGATATTTCAAGTCAGTCATATTGTAGAAATCTCATCGTCATTATTTACAAGTAAAACTATGTATAATAAATACTACAAACTTACCAACAACTGGAATCTCGTAGGGTTGCAGACCGGTCATAGTATATTTAGTAGGTACATCATTAATACTTTCACCCCTCACTGTGACCCGCCTGTAGATATTTTGCATGCCAGGCAACATATAGTATCTGTGATGGTGGATATTCACGTTGATCATTCTGATGATCTTAGCGCTCTTAGACTTCTTGGTTTTGATACAAACGGCGACGCCGGAGACGAGCATCGGTTTCGCGACACCCGTCTCGAACGACTCCACCTTGCCGGTGAACTTAACACTCACCCTCTTTTCAACTGATTCCTTCTCAACCTTCATACCTATTTCAAATTGGGGCACCTGAAAGAGTGAGTAATGTTATAGCTACGTACTTGGACCAAATCTAAAATGTATGTTCATTACTGTTACGTTTAACTTACGACCACGACTACTTTAACGAGATTGTCTTGTGATGGGTTGATGATTGTTTGAATCCATCTGCCATTTCGGATTCAATACAGCTCGGATGCGTCTAACAACAGCATTTGGAATACTGATACATGGACGATAATTATGATACGCAATGGGGCTGCCACTTATTTAATGTTACGAAAAACGCTTAAAATTAGATCGACCTAACGGAGCCGATGATGAATCGGATCTGTTCGGTTGACGGGTGAAGAAATATCGCCCCTGGTCCAATCACTCATTCAGGAGGCGTTAAATTATAATTTCATATAGAAAATAAACGAATGGCGAGAATATAAATATACATAATTCGCGATTGTTGACTTGAAAAAAATTGTTCTTTATTGTGACGATGATTTAAGTTTATTGTATCTATATGCTCGCCCTTAGGTTACGATTCATTGAAATATAAAATAAATTAAATGATTTACCTATTTGTTTTTTCGACCTAAAAACCTTATTTGCTAGTATTAATATGTTATTAGAATGGACTTAAGTCTAGATAATGATTGCATAGCTTAGCGGCAGCCCCGAAATAAGAATATAAGTACAGATGGTCAGAAAGAGTTCCGATTTTTGCGTTTCCTATAACGAAAACCAATGCGCTTAGCTCACCTCAATTTTAACAACTTCAACGGTTCCCTGCGCCTCCCCGTTGACGTCGAACAATGTGAATTTGTCGCCCTCGGAAATGACCTCCAGTTCGAACGCGTATCCCCCCGGATGGTTGTCGCTCCAGAAATAGTTATTATTGTTGTTCAGACAACCCTTGTCCGCCTCGAAGGTGAATCTCCTTGAGTAACCTCTTCCTATGGACTCTAGGGTGAGTGCACGATTTCCGAACAGGCAGCACTCGCGGTGGTTGCGCCTGGTGTCTGGCAAGTTATCCTGGACACAGGGCAACGGACGTACGCGGTACTTAAAGCCTGTAATAACTCGTTTGTCAATATATACACCCAAAACAGGGAATTGATGTGATCCCACTGGCGCTATTACGTAACGAGCCGGTAAATCTCCCAACTCGGACGCGTCCAATATCAAATACTGCCTCTGAGAATCGAACGAAATCCTGTCCGAATACAAATTGTTATCCTGCAACAGAAAAAAACATCATCAAATACACTATTACAAACAAACGCGTTCATTTCGCCAATATGTTTTATTAATGACAAACAACTTGAAACCTTTCCAACTACTCATCGAATCCTCGGGATTCTATTTAAAATCTTTAACACTATTACGACATTAAAATATTGCAAATACGATACACGTTTCGACTGGATAATTATGTCATCTATATACTGCACTCAGTGAGATTTTATGTAATCTAGAATTCTCCACATGAGAATGTAGCATTCATATAACCTGTTGATTGCAAATAAACCAATGCCATACACTTGGAACAATTTATATAGAACGTTTCATATACTTCCTCTTTCCATTTTTAATAAAAAAAATTAGTGTATATTGATTGAAAAAAAGGTCTAAATTAATCAAAATTAAATGTTTATCTATGTACGTATATATAGTAACCAAATAAACGCATGTTCTAATAAATTTAAACATTTTTTTATGTTAATTAAAAATAATTGAATGTGTTATCGCATTAAAAATTTTAAGTTATACAAGTATTACAGACCATACTTGAATTGTAATAGAATCTGTTATTTGTATGAATTGGGAATTGTGACGTAAACTCTTGATATGCACTTTAGCGTTTAGATATTAGCTTTATAATCCAGGTTTTACTAGGTAGAATGAAAGTTAAAGTAATGCGACTTAGAAATGTGAGAAATAACTGATCAGCGTCAAAATGATAACGGAATGTGTTGTTGGTGATTTCATTGCATGTCAAATCTAACTGCGTTTCGCATTTAAATTGGATGCACCGAAGCAAAACCTCTTATGAAGAAATGGTAGTTAATTGAATAAAAAATTAAATTATTTCCGTTCAAGTAAATGGAATAATTATTAGAAAGTTAAAATCGGTAAATGAAAGGAGCGAAAGAAAGATGGAATGCTATAATAATGCTAGAGGGTCAAACCAGGCTATTGCTATTTACGTTTTCTGTATTTCGGAATGCAGGCTGCTGCATTATAACATGTTTGTCCGTGCGTAAAGAGCCAGTAGGCAGGTCTTGCATCCTCGCAGAACTGTTTTAATTTGTGTTTTCCTTGTGTTATTTTCCGGATCCCCACGGGAATCCGTAAATTACACGCGACCGCAGGGCCGTTTTGGCATCAACACAGGATCCAAAATTACGCACTTAGACGTTGACGCAGGTCCAAAAACCTCGACTTCGAAAATAAACTGATTTAATTACCGACATTTGTAAAATTCCCAGACTAGCTCAGTAATTTACCATATTGATTATAACATGCAATTTATTATAATCGAATTATCATCAAGTACATATTATGAAACACGGAATTGCTCAATTATCTAATCATTAATACTTAAATAATATGAATTTAGTGATTCTGAAAGTGGAGATCGCAAAATATAATGACTCGGGATGGTTTTCTACGCATATCGGCGGCGGTTGCAGAAATTTTTTCAAGTGCAAAAGGGGGTCGCGGGCCAAAATGTTTTAAAAACGCTGAAATATAATAAGAACTGATTTGAAAACAGTTTTTCTGTTGTTAAATTAAATTTACTTCATTTGGTGAAAGAAATACGTGAATAGACTAATCTCCCGATAAATTTACATTGCTGCGTGGATTTCCTTTGATTATATGAAAATGTCTAAAAATAGAAAGTACGTGGTTTTAAAGCTTCTGGAAATGTAAATACTCCTATCGTCAATTCAATTTTATCTGCAAGGAAATTTAACATTACTAGAGGTCATTCGATTTGCCCAGTTGAAGTGGTGGAATATTTCCATTCCACATATTGTTATAATATCGCAAATTTTCCATATAATCCTAGTTTGATACTTACAATAAACCTTTAAATTGTATTGATAAGTATTCATTACAATTATAAAACTTTCATTAAATAATGCATTTTTTGAATATAAAATTTTAAAAATGTACTATTATAAACAAATAGAAATGTTGATATTTTGTAATTATAAAATGCTTCCTCTGACCCATAACTTTTCAAGGAAATTACACGCTACTTTTGAATTACTAAACAACGCTAGCTTAGTTTGTCATTCAGAGAAAATGATAATTCCTGCAAGTATTTGCGTATGCTGCATTTACAACTGATCCAGTTAGTGAGCATAACAAACATTGCGAATAAACGTTGATAACGAGATATCCGCTCGCCTTATGTGCAACAAGTCTACGAAGAACGGACACTTTCGAGCCAGAGAAACTGTTGGTTAAGAAACGCATCTTTTGGAAATTGAAGTTGTTAACGCTAACAAAACTACGTTGCAACTGACAAGAAAAATACAAAACAAATTTAATTTCAACTACCGTAAAGATTCCGGTGGTTGTGGCTTGCGATAACAACAGTCGGATATTTTTATTGAAATAATTTCCTCTGAAATGTTTCCTACAGATATCAGTCATGCGTAAATATAAGATAATAAAATACTCTGTAGCATATAAAGTATTAAGCTACATGTATATTTATAAATTAATTAATTAATATTTCGAAGTATTATTGTATTTATATTATTGCGTATGATATAAATCTGATATATGTATTTACCTGGTTGGAAAATGTGTTGTGTTCGGTACACTCGGAATCATCATCGACGACAACTAAGGAGGATCTGCTGCGATTCGATTGACATACCCTCTGCATGACATCCATTTTCGTTTCTTCTGGGACAATGGCCGACAACATTTTCGGTCTTTGGTTGTTCAGATCTAAAATCAAACGTGACTTTAATTTCGATGCTCAACTTCATAATGAAGGGCGAAGGAGAAGGTGATCTTGTGTTGATCACCCACATTGAAATGCATCAGACATGTTAACCTTTCCTTTTGGTTTATATTTAGAATGCACATACATTCCTATTTGGGATGAGCGATTGTCGAGGCAACTCTACGCATTATTCATACATTTCTTCCAGACATTTTTTCACAATACCGCTGCGAAATCACTCATTAATGAAATGAAAACAAAATTTGTTGATCAACCTATGATTGATATGTTTAGATTTCCACAAAAAGCTTATTTCTATCATAATATATGGCATATATTTTCGTTAATTAAAAAAATAAATGTAAAATTGAAAGTAGTTTATTACAAACGTTTTAATAAAGAAAGCAAAATATTTCGGTAAAATACTCGAAAACTGCATTCCTTCCACACAATTATCGAGCGTAAACAACTTTTCAGTAAGTGCAATCTGAAATTGTTGATAGTAAATCAGAGATGAATTGAAAAAATAAATAACGATATCTAATTATAAAAAAGTAATGGAAATGTTATGGAACTGCAATCATTGCTTTTTTAACTTTTATATTCTATTGTTAATATGCGATACAATGAGAAAATAAACCAAAACAAGTATCGAGCAACTATAAATCATCAAATGACTCACACTTTCACATATAGACGAAATACATAATTTAATTCATAATATTATTATATAAAGTCGAACCTCGCATAACGAGCATTTCGCTTAAGGAGCAAAATGAATTGTAAGAAAAATGACTCGCTTAACGAGCGACGTGTCGCATAACGAGTGACGATGAGAGTGCCACATTATTTTTTAAACTTGTGTATACATATGTGTATTTTTGAATATGTTTCACTATGCGAGTAAAAATCCGGCAAATTTGGAACGGATTAAACTCGTTAAGCGAGGTTCCACTGTATTGTGTATTTTGTAAAACGTAAATAAAATATGTAAACAAAACCTTCAGGTAAGTAAGCTAATAGTAGATAAATGTTACAGACTTAAATTATTTGTCATTATTTTTTCCTTAAAAATGTGAATGTAATCAATGTTATTATTACTTTCCACTACGGAAACACAGATTAGAAATGTGACTTAAAATACATGATTATCTATTTTTCATAAACACGCATAATTTAATTTAGACTACACTGATAATACAAATTTGGAAATTGTATAAATAAACAAAATTTATAGTCATAGCATAAGCAAACAAAAGATAATGTAAGCGTAATCTAATATTTAAAATCCATAATTTTAATAAAATGTGTAATAACAATATTATACCTATTTTATTAAATATATCGATCAAGAGTAGAATAGATAAAAAAGCATACCTACAAATGCAATGCTTTTCTTTAAGTGTTTGTATTTACAAAAACTAAATAATTGATAACATTGATATAGTAGTATTAAAATTGTTGTTTGTTTTCATTAAAGTATCGTGATTTAAAAAAAATACATAAATAAAATAATACGATACGGTATTAACAATTTACTTAAATGTTTGTTATTATTATTTTGATATGTACAGAAATGCAAATTGAAGTAATTAATTAAGAGAGTAAACACTTTCAGAAATGTTCGTTCGTTCCGTCTCAAGAGACAAGTAAAAATCAATTATTACTTGTATAATTTTCGAAAGAATTAAGTGAGTCACTGTGGTATATAAACAAGTATAGAAAACAAAAATAAAACTGAGTATATGAATGAAAAGGATGAAGCGATAACGAGGCGAAAGTTGTGTCTTTCGTAGGCACTTCCTGATTGGTAAATAAGAGTATGCCACGTGCATACATTGCATTTGAACTTACCTAGTTTAATATATGTTAATCGTATGAAGATAAAGCGTATCTGAAAGTATATAACGGTATAATCTTCCCTGGCGATGTATGCCTCTGCAATCCCTTTATTCAATCAGTTGGTCCCTCGTCAGACACTCCCACAATTATATTTATATTCAATAGCGATGATAAAATTAGAAACTCTGTAGAAACTTTGATGTTCACTATTCGAGCCCAGATTCAGGAATAAGCCTGGAAGCGTAGCTGCAACACCATTTAGCCAGCCGAATGCAACCCAGCAACCCACCTCATTGGTTATTTCCGAGGAGCACGCATCGACCGCGTGGACAAACCTACCACCACCACCGACGCACCATACACTTCATTGCAAATACCACATGAACATGAAATGCATATCTGCATTCTGGCATCTAGTTTTTTTTAACTACAAGAATCACAATTCCATGTTTCATTATCTATAAAGATAATTGAAGACATACCACTAAATATATATATAATAATTATGTCCCAACATACATGTTTACCCACTAATAAACTAAGATTTTCCATTATTTAATATAATTATTTTAAGATTTTAGAAATGTTATTACATTTTTGAAACATTTATTATCTAAGGCTAAGATCATTCATTTAACATTAAATTAAGTTATGGAATGCATACAGATGTTAGTCACGACGAATAGACTCCCCTTGTCTTAAAATGTACTGCCTCGATGACGTGTCTGCTTCATATACATTAAAGATTCGAAGCTAAAAGAACATTCACTATTTTTTATATTAATATAATATAAAATATTATATTGACATAATTTAGTTAGGTTATTCGAGTCTATCATTCTTAAAAAAAAAATAGTAATAATAAATCATACATTTGTATTCAAATGTATTCTTTCTTAAATAAATAGTCCAATTATTTAAAAAATATTACATTTTATAATTTAACGCATATGTTATATTATAAATAAAGTATATGAGAATAGTGCAACATAAAGGATTATTGTAAAACTTAATCATATTATATATTATATATAATAAATGATGTAAATAATGATATATCTACAATATATTAATATAACTTGTCAATAACATTTTCTAAACTAATGGTGTACATATAATTTTACTGATTTACTATTATTCAATTATTCTGAGCATGCTTTTACAATTAATAATATAAATAAATATGAAATAAAGATAGTTTTTATGTATATTAGAGATAATTATATATAAAATAACCTTTTCCATGAAAAATGATCACTAATCATAATTTAATATTGTTTTTGTTACAAAAAAATATATTACATATCATATTTTAGTAATAGTAAAATAGTAAAAAGTAATTAGCAGTTACGCTAATAACTTTTTAAAGAGCGAATGCAAGATCAAAACAACATCTTTAAATAAAAGTTAGAGACAAATTCTGCGAAGGATAGAAAGGATTGTTATTGTTATTTTATATCGAAATTGGTTTTAATTGTTATTGAATTTAACAAAAAAATGTTTTTTTTAGTTATTTGTCTTTTTTAATTATATTTAAAGGAAATAATCGTAAAATTTATTACGTTCATAATACATATATATTTTTTTAATAGCATATAGAATAATATAAGGTGAAAATGATTTATTATAATATTTATTACGTATAGTTAATTCAATTAAATTGTGTTTAATTTATGTGATATTGCATATAAATATATTGTTTTCTAGCAAAATTTCTAAAGAAGTAAAAAAAATAAAAGCAAAAATCTCAGGTATATTGAAATTTAGTTTGTGTGAATGCATCTAAAATACGACTTATTTTATTTTCAAGAGGATGCGTAGGAGAGGTAGTTATTCTGAGAAATTCATGTCCCTGCTAAAATATAGAATTAAGGGTCCTAAAAACCAGTTTTGGATGGTGAATGGAGACCCAAGAGCGTGGGAATACCTACAAAATGTCGACGTTAACTCAGTGAATAAATCATTGTTACGGATAAAGTACCTATAACCTTGCACACGGAAACGTTGGCGCATATAATTGTTAATACCAATATGTATGGACTATATTTTAGCACTCTAATTAGTACTATTGCTAACTGGGCTCTAAATGTTCAGTTACATGTGTCCTTTAATGTAGATAACAATATTAAGGAATGTAAATAAGAAAATATATTGAAACTTCAAAAAACAAAACAAAATCTGTTAATTCTTCTTAGTATTTGTAATTTTTGAATCTATATTATTATTATTATTCAATTATAATTTAATAATTCCTACTGTTTACCTTAAAAGAAAATGAACATACAAAATGGTTAATATGTTTGAAATTACGGAAAATATAACATATATATTAAATACCAAGGAATTGATGCATTTTAATCGTCGGTATGTGAGTTGCAATATCTTAAATTAAATAATAATATAATATTTAGATCTTGATAATCAATAAAAAGTTTTCATGTGATTTGATCTCTGAAAATTATTATTATTATACTTATATACTGTATGCTTGTGATGTATTGTACAATATCTTCATGGTATCTGGAACACTCCATGAGAAATGGCAACAGAGCAATTACTAAATACATACAATTATTAAGCAAATAGCTGCAATTAGCTTTTTGAAATTCTTCAAACCAGATCTAATTAGCACTTATCCCAATTTTCGCATAATTTGTTAATACCTTTGACACTTCCAAAGTCATTATTCTATTATTGGAAAAAGATAAAACTGTGTCCGCATAAATAAAAAATGTTGTCTGTTGGTA